TTTCCTACTCCAAGCAGTCCATCACTCTGAAGGGGCTGAATCAGAAATCACCCAATATGGAAAATGACTATAGATTGAATCACTAAATTGAAGAGAAGTTCCTTTGCAAACAATCATTGGTTATGAAATTGTTATTTGTTATAAGTTTTCTCAATTTTTCCTCCATGCTTCATTCTTTGGCTGGGATATAAACCCCTGGAAAAGTGACTCATGGTACACTGATTTAGAGGTCTAGCTAGGTTTTCCCTTTGAGGAAAAAAGTGTGTTTTCGGTGTTCATTGGGAGACTGTTTTTCTCTCTCTTTACCCATCTCCATCTTATGAGCTGCCACACTTTCACCCTCACAACACACTCATTTTCATCATTTACTTGGGTGTCATTAAAATATATGCCTTGGTTAGTTGGGCTCAGTGGATAGAGCATTGACCTGCAGACTGAGGGATCCTGGGTTTGATTCCAGCCAAGGGCATGTGCCTGGATTGTGGGCTCAATCCCCAGTGGGGGTTGTGTAGCAGGCAGCCAGTCAATGAGTCTCTCTCGGCATTGATGTTTCTATCTCTCTCTCCCTCTCCCTTCCTCTCTGAAATCAATAAAAATATATTTAAATTATATATATATATATATATATATATATATATATATATATATATATATATATATATGGCAGCAAGTTATTTATTCAGTTATGCATGTTTATTAAACCAGAATAAAGTATTATCAATTACTAGAGACTTGGAAGATGGGTGAGGCTCCCTGAACAGCCTGACAGCAAAAAGAAAGACATAGGCTGCCATGGCCTGACTTGAGAAGCCCTGAGAGAGGTCTCCCTGGCATCCTTATTGGCCATGGCTCAAAATCCCAACTTAGCAGTGCCTTTGATGCAGTCAACAAGAGACCCTTGAATTCAGCTGGAACCCAACGCTACCCTTCCAATCATGTGACCTCACCCAAGCCACTTATCTCAGAGCCTCAGTGTCCTTTTCTGGGGGAAAAAAATAAACAAACCTCAAGAATTTGGGGGATTATTATAGGAGACATGGGATATCCTATCTAATAATAGACAAACAGGGTAATTGACCGTACCTTCTCTATGCCTCCCATTGAATAATCAGTGCGATATGCAAATTAACCTCCAACAAAGATGGCTGTTAATTTGCATATGTACGCTCCAAGTGGTGGAGCAAAGACTGAGGCAAGCGGAGCAGTGAAGTCGGAAGATGGAAGGCGGCTCCGACTGGGGCCACGAAGACGGAAGACGGAAGGTGGCACCAGCCAGAGCGAAGGCCTGGGTCCCAGGTGCCAGAGGAAAACCGGTGCCAGCAACCAGGAGAAGAAAAGGCCTATTACATGAATCTCTTCGTGCAACAGGCCTCTAGTATTAAATACTAAGAATAATTCAGAATATGATAGGTAACATTTTTAAATGACAACATTATTTAGGAGTTGTAATATATTAAACTTCTGTCTATTAGATGCTATAATAGCCCAAATCAGATTTCTGATTAACTTTACCGAAAGCAAGAACTTGAGAAAATTTAAAAGCTAAATATATTTGAGGTTTCTTAGGATCACGCAGAATGCCAGTGATATTTAAAGGCACATGATTATCTGGAAAAAAAATAAAAATAAAGAAATGGAAAACCACTTGTCCACATGTTATCCAAGAATGAGGTTGAAAAAATGTTAAATAACATGATTAACTATTTCACAATTGTGTCAGTTTTTGCACTTCCCGTTCTGCTATGAATAATAGAGTTGAATAGATGAAAAAAAAATACATTTCCAGAAGTCTGTTCCATGTTTCACATATGAATGTGTCTCATTGTTATTTCATTGCTGTTTCACATACGAGGAAGATCATGTTTTGGATTCAACTTTCTTCCCTGCCTTCATTTTTTGTAAGTTTCCCAAATGAGAACTGGGGAAAACAAACAAATACACACCAATTTACTTGTGTTTGGAGCAAGTAGTACTTTTCATATTATTTCATGTTTCCCTGTCTGAGCACATGGAGGTTCCACCACCGTGTACTAAACTATCTTTAGCTAACTCTGATCCTTCAAAATATAACTATCACTTTTCCATGAAATCTAATTATCCCAGCCCATATCCACCCCAGGTATGGGAACAACTGTGCTTCTTTTTATTACCAAATTCATCACACTGGTCCATTTATTGCTCAGTAACTAGCTTTTTATTTTCCACTTTGCGACACTTTCCTCAAGGGCAGCGATCATCATGCTCTTGCTTTCTTTGCACAGAGAACCGCTTGGCTGGTGCAGAGCAGAAACTCAGTAAACATGTGGCAAATGTAAGAGAGAATAGTATACACAATTGCTCTGTAACAAATCAATGCGTGGAGTCATTTATGACAAACTATGTCTTCTCCAAGGATAATGAATGAAAACCAGAAGAATTGAATCAGAATCTCAACCTCCATGCCCTCGGTGCAATGATAGAAGAAACTTCCAGATCTCACCTAGATTTTTTTCCTGAAATGCACAGCATGTCCCCATGAGGGAAGTTTAGATCACTTTTTACTTTACAAATAGAAGTTTAGATCACTTTTCTTGATCCTTGGTAAGTTGGTTGTTGATCAAAACCTATACCTAAAATCAAATTCTGGTTCTCTCCCAGAGATCTTTGCCACAGAAAGTAGTAGATGATGGGGCTTTTTCCTTGACTCTATAAAACATGGAAAGAGTTATGATATATGCTGTAACCTTGGTATTGATAGAGGTATTGATGGATCCAGAGTTTAGGGAAAAGATATTTTGAAGAGTTATGAGCAAAACCTAGATGATGAAGTTAAGTCAACATCTTAATAAGGGGTCCAAAGGGTATTAAACTAGTGAGCAAGTCAAAGGAGGACCTCAAATCTGAGTACAAGAGATGATCAGTGGAAACTTCTGGAGAAGAGAGTGTGGAGGCATTTCAACAAGATGGTCTAATCTTCCACTTTCAAGTGATGTGGTATAACTTTCCAACACTGCTTCCCAGTGTTCAGGAAACTAAGCTCAGACCTGGTCAGTAGGTCCCTAGAAAGGAAAGGCATAAAGGCAGTAGGGAAGGACTGTATCAGTATGAAAAGGCTACACAATAGGAAATGAAACAGTGAGCGAAGTTCAAGAATTCAAACAAAAACAGAGTGAGAGTTGAAGGTAATTAGAGCACTTCCCTTTCAATAATTATTTATATTCTAATTCCCTTAGCAACTTTTCTGATTATACAAAATGAAGTAAAGACGTTTCCATTCAAGATTTTAAATCTATACACTTCTAATGTTATCCATACAGAATGGGAATTAGAGAATAAAAAATGAGTGAATTTAAGCTTCTTGTTACAGAGGATTTTAAACCTGTTTTCCTGACAACACTCCCATCCAACCCTTTCACACATAGCTCTCAAGTTTGGAGATGCCATTTTGTAATACTTTCTCCCCAAAGGTATTCTAAATCCATCTATTCAGCTGACTACGAGTGAGATTTACTGCACAGGAGTAGGTCTTGAGTGACAAAGTATTAGCAGAGTCACCAGTTACAGTTGATTTGCAGGAATCTGTGCTGCTGTGATAAAAGCCACTGCAGGGTAAAGTGGGGCCCAAATAAGTTGCCCATCCTACCTCCAGTCAACTTCATCTGAATTAACCCAGTCAGGATTCCAGGTTGGAGAAGGCACCCAGGCATCTTGGCTTGAGGTCCTGGCAGCCCTACAGCATTCTGAAGAGGCGGTTCAAATAGCACAGTGATGGCGAACCTATGACACGCGTGTCAGAGGTGACACATGAACTCATTTTTTTGGTTGATCTTTCTTTGTTAAATGGCATTTAAATATATAAAATAAATATCAAAAATATAAGTCTTTGTTTTACTATGGTTTCAAATATCAAAAAATTTCTATATGTGATATGGCACCAGAGTTAAATTAGGGTTTTTCAAAATGCTGACATGCCGAGCTCAAAAGGTTCGCCATCACTGATCTAGCAGAACCTGATGGAAACAAATGTTTGCTCCTCTCCTTGAAGAACTGAGGTTTTGATTCAACCTTAAATTTCATTTGAAACAGTCCCTGCTGCTTAACAGTGAAGGAGAAGTACTTAAATTTTCACTGGATTGAAAGCAGCTTGACATGGCAATAGCTAATTATATTGAGCAGTGTCTGATAAAACAAGTGAAATTTAAAGCTAAACCCGAAGAGTGCTTTAAATTCAGTCAAAACAAAAGTGGATTTGGAAGTTTTCTGTGCATTTTTTCATAATCAACACAGTGGAAAACAAACAGTTCATCTGAAGAATAAAGGACAGTAGATATTATGGGCATATTATGAACGAAAAACTAAACTTTATTTGGCAAAGGCAACTTGTTGTAAGACAATAAGAGAGACTCTGACCTCAGCTAGCCATACCTGAGTGCAAATTCTGCATCTGACCCTTAATAGTGTGTGTGTGTGTGACCTTGGGAGCATTATTTAACTTCTCTGTAATTCACATTCCTCAACTTTCTGTGCAAAGTGAGAAAATTACAAGGAATTAATATGTTGTTGAGGGATTAAATAGATGCTCAATAAATATAAATTTCCTTTGCTTTATTTGTATTGGCAGTAATAGACCTAGCTGGTAACTAAGATAGTGGGGAAATGGGAGAATGAAAACACTATCTATATAATTGCAATCCCTATCTTCTTTCACCCTCCCTCCAAAGATATTATAGAAACACTGACTAAATCACAAAACTAAATATCACATTTCATTATTTTGATTAAAATAGAATGTTCAGAATATAAAGAGGAGATGAAAGGACCATGTGCTTTATATCACAAACCTCAGCAATACCCCTAAAAGAACTAGAACTGGTAATTTTCAAAGTTAAAAACTATCACAGTCATTAGGAAGCCCAAGTATATATTGAATTTCTCATCTATGTCCTTTTCTCTTGGGGAAAATGTTAGGCATGAATTGATGTAATTCCCCAACACCTGCAGAAAGGTCATGATCTCATTACCATTCATCCTTGTCAGCATCACAGTTGCAAAAGTACCGAATGTCCAGGCAAATCTCATCCAGGCCACATTCACATTGCTGAACCCCGGGAGGAGCGCCTCCCCAGTAAGGGTGCCTTTCCTTTGATCGGCCCATCCACCAGGTAAAGGGAACTCCATCTGAAAGACAAAGTATTTCAAAACTCGGGTGAGCAAGCCAGAAATGACACATCAGGAGTCACAAACACAGATAAAAATGTCATGAAGAATATGCAGACCTTATTCGCTCTCTGCGTTGGCGATGCCTGTCCGCCACGGTCTCGTTCTGAGATTCTGCGGGTGCGTATTTCTTCCTGGTCCTTCCTCTCCTCTTCATGCACCGTTCGCCGTCCCTTCCCTTCCCTTCCCGTCCGTCCTTCACTCCCTTCCAGCCCCTTCCCTCCCCTCCCCTCCCTTCCCTCCCCTCCCCCTCCCCCATCCCCTCTCCTCCCCTCCCTCTCCCTCTCCTCTCCTCTCCTCTCCTCTCCTCTCCTCTCCTATCCTCCTCTCCTTCCTCTCCTTCCTTCCTTCCTTCCTTCCTTCCTTCCTTCCTTCCTTCCTTCCTTCCTTTCCTTCCTTCTCTCTTTTTCTTTCTTCTTTTGCTTTTCTTTCTTCTTTCTTTCTTTCTTTCTTTCTTTCTTTCTTCTTTCTTTCTTTCTTTCTTTCTTTCTTTCTTCTTCTTCTCTTCTCTCTCTCTCTCTCTCTCTCTCTCTCTCTCTCTATATATATATATATATATATATATATATATATATATATATATATATATATATCATCCTCAATATATGTAGGATAGATATCTATATACATTTTACATATAAGCAATACAGAAAACATCTGAAGACTGTTTAGATGTTTATAGTAGGAAGGGTGAGGTCACTAGTGGAGCTGAACCAGCTCCCAGAGGTGGCAGATCTCAGGCTGAGAGAGAAGTGGGAGTGTTGGGCTATGGGAGGGTCTGTTCCTTCAGAAGATAGAGGCAGGGAACCCAGGCTGGGCTCCACAGCCCAGAGCACTGAGCCCAGACTTACAGTCCATGTAAAGCATGAAAAGTGGCAGGGCTGCAGGTGGCAGTGGAATCTGGAAATGGCAGACCAGAGCAGGTCAGAGAAAAAGCTGCGGTTTGGTGTTTTTTTTCTTTTTTTCTCTCCAAACCCAGAGCACAGGAGTTTTCATTTGCAGCTACTCACCTGAGGTTTTGGTGCAGGGAGGGAGACACAGAGTTGAGGTGCTTAAAGAGAGACTGTGGTGGGAAGCACTGCAGGGAGACGTGGAACAGCAACAGCCAGAAGTCCTGCATTTGGTTATTTGTATGTGCTCAAATCAAAACAGCCATTTTTCCTGAGAGGAGCTAACTATTCTCAATAGTCACAGGGCTGGAAAAGAAAAATCCCATTCTAGGTGATACCACAGAAGGGCTCCAGGGTGTGTCCGCGGGACTTGCTCAGTCCTGATTGGCCAGATCCCAGCAGCAAGCTAACTTACAGGTCAGAGCATCTGCCCCTGGTGGTCACTGCACGTCATAGTGAGCAGTTGAGTGACCTTAGCATATCATTAGCATATCACACTTTAATTGGTTGACGGCCAACTGTCTGACTGGACATTTAGCATATTAGGCTTTTATTATATAGGATAGTAAAGGAAGTATTAGAATCATCAATCAGACAACAAAAATAAATATAAGCCATCTAAATTGGAAAAGAACAAGTAAAACTGTCATTGTTCATAGATGACATGATATTGTACATAGAAAACCCCAAAGACTCCACCAAAAAACTACTAGATATAATGAATCTAGTAGCAGGATACAAACTAACACCCAGAAATTGATGGCATTTTTACACACCAATAATAAACTCTCAGAAAGAAAAAAAAATCCAATTTACCATTGCAACAAAAAAAATTAAGATACTTAGGAATAACCTTAACCAAGGAGGTAACTACAGAACATTGAAGAATGAGACAGAGGAAGATATAAACAAGTGGAAGAAAATACTGTGTTCATGGATTGATAGAATCAACATCATTAAAATGTCCATACTACCCAACAAAACTTATATATTCAATGTAATCTTTATTAAAATACAAATGGCATATTTCCAGATATAGTATAAACACTCCAAAATCTATATGGAACCCAAAAAGTACCTGGATATCTGCAGCAATCTTGAGAAAGAAGTACATAGTTGTAGGAATCACAATACAAGATATTAAATTATACTAAAAATTTACTATAATCAAAAGAGCCTTGTACTGGCACAAGAACAGACATATAGATCAATGGAACAGAGCAGAGACCCCAGAAATCAACCCAAGCCACTACACCCAATTAATATTTGACAAAGAAGGCAATAGTGTACAATAGAGTAAAGACATTATCTTCCATAAATGGTGCTGGGAAAATTGGACAGATATATAGGGAACTCATGCAACTGAACAGAATGAAGACAAAAAATCCAATAAATGGCCAAAGGACCTAAATAGACACTTCTCCAAATTGGACACATAGATGGCTAGGAGACATATGAAAAAATGCTCAAAGTCACTGATCATCAGAGAGATTCAAATTTAAACAACAATCAGGTATCACCTCACACCTGTCAGAATGGCTATCATCAACAAATTAACAAATGACAAGTGTTGGTGAGAATGAGGACACAAGGGAACCCTAATAAGCTGCTGGTGGGAATGCAGACTGGTGTATCCATTATAGAAAACAGTATGGAGTTGCCTCAAATAATTAAACATGGAACTGCCATTTGACCCAGTGATTCCACTTCTAGGAATAGATCCTAAGAAATGAGAAACACCAATCAGAAAGGATATATGCACCCCTATGTTCATAGCAGCACAATTTACAATAGCTAAGATTTGGAAACAGCCAAGTACCCATCAGGAGATGAGTGGATAAGAAAGCTGTGGTACATTTACACAATGGAATACTATGCAGCTATCTACACTAATAAAAGAGAAAAATGGTAATTGGCGTACGGCACTACCCTTTTCATTGGCTAATCAGGGCTATATGCAAATTAACTGCCAACTGAGATGGTAGTTAACTGCCAACAAGATGGCGGTTAATTTGCATATGTAAGCACAATGCAGGGAGGCGAAAGGGAAAGCAGGAAGAAGCCCCCTGCCACTGACAGTGATCGGAAACCCAGGGGGGAGCTAGGAGGTGGGGGGCAGGGCAAAGGCGGCCCCAGGCCGCCTTTGCCCTGCCCCCCAGCCATGATTGGAGAATCAGGCGCCTTTGCTGCCCTGGCCAGTGATAGCAGGAAGTAGGGGTGGAGCCAGTGATGGGAGCTGGGGACAGTCGAAGCTGGCAGTCCTGGGAGCTAGGGTCCCTTGCCTGGGCCTAAAGCAGAGCCCACAATCGCGGGGCCGCTGCAGCTGGGTGTCCCCGCTGCCTGAGCCGGATGCCTCAGCCAGAGGCGTTAGGCCTGGGCAGGGGCAGAGCGGGAGATCGTGGGGACCTGGGAGTCCCCTGCCCAGGCCTAACGCCTCTGGCCGAGGCCTCAGGCCTGGGCAAGGGCCCAATCCGGTGACTGGTGATTGGAGGGTGATGAGGGTCAACTCCTCTGGCCGAGGCATCAGGCCTGGGTGGGGGCCGGAGCCGGGGATTGGAGGGATATGATGGTCCCCTTGCCCAGGCCTGAAGCCTGGGTCAGAGGCATCAGGCTTGGGCGGGGGGTGGAGCAAGCGATCAGAGGGAGATGGGGGTCCCCTGCCCAGGCATGATTCCTGGGCCAGAGGCCTCAGGCCTAGGTGGGGGTCAGAGCCAGTGATCGGGGGGAGATGAGGGTCCCCTGTCCAAGCCTGACACCTCTGGCGGAGGCGTCAGGCCTGGGCAAGGGGCAGAGCCAGCAATCGGAGGGGCCTGGGGGTCCCCTGCCCAGGCCTGACGCCTGGGCCAGAGGCATCAGGCCTGGGCTGGGGGCAGAACCAGTGATGGGGGGAAATGAGGGTCCCCTGCCCAGGCCTGACACCTCTGTCAGAGGCGTCAGGCCTGGGCAAGGGGCCGATCCTGTGATTGGAGGGTGATGGGGGTCAACGCCTGAGGGCTCCCAGTATGTGAGAGGAGGCAGGCTGGGCTGAGGGACACTCCCCCCACCCCCCCACACACCCCCCCCCAGTGCACGAATTTCGTGGACCGGGCCCCTAGTAAAAAATAAGTACCTCTTACCATTTGCAACTGTGTGTGTGGACCTAGAGAGTATTACGTTAAGTAAAATAAGTCTGTCAGAGAAAAATAAGTATCACATGATCTCACTCATATGTAAAATCTAATGAACAAAATAAACTGATAAATAAAATAGATCCAGGCACATAAAACTGTGGTACAGACTGATGAATTTCAGGGGGAAGGTGGGATGGGGGTGGTGGAGAGATTAACCGAGGATCTTATATGCATACTAGAGACCCAGTGCACGAATTCATGCATGGGTAGGGTCCCTGGGTCTGGGCAGCGATAGGGACCAGCCAGCTGGTGGGAGGGACTAAGAGAGGTTGGCTGGCTGCAGGAGGTCGGCCTATGGGAGTGCACTGACCATGAGGGGGCAGCTCCTGCATTTAGCATCTGCCCCCTGGTGGTCAGTGCATCTTCATATGACCGGTTGTTTGGTCCACCAGCCATAATGCTCACTTTGGTTTTTATATATATAGATAGATAGATGATAGATAGATAGATACGTAGATACGTAGATACGTAGATACATAGATATATAGATATATAGATATATAGATACATAGATACATAGATACATAGATACATAGATACATAGATATATAGATATATAGATATATAGATATATAGATATATAGATATATAGATATATATGTAGCCCATCCATGGACCCAGATAATAATATGTAAAAGGCTTGGGAAAGGCAGGTGCAGGAAGGACGGGTCAATTGGAAAAACATACAAGTAACTACGAAAACAAACAAAGGAGACATCTGTAATACTTTCAACAGTAAAGATAAATTTAAAAAATGAAATATAAAAAAATTATGCTCCAAAAGAAAAAAAAATAAATATATTTTTGATTCTCATCCTTGTCAACTCCTTTTTTTGCATAACTTGGTCTATCAAAATCTTTTGGTGTTTTTTCGTGATTTCAAATACTTCTGTGATTAAAA